TTTGCTGACTGACATTAGGATGCAGGACATCAGGATTTGCCTATGGAAGCAGGTGCTACATTACTCAAAAGCACAACTGTGGTTTATGAAAACTGATCAGCCTTCTGCGATAGTCATAAAACACAGGAACTTCACAAACAGAGTAAATATTACAGTCTTCCAAAAGTCTGGAAATACTGTCTTAGAAGCCATAGGAGCACCTGTATAATTAAAACCATTCTAATAACAATTTATTAAATTAACTGACATACAAATAAAACTTACTAGAAAGGATGCAGATGAACTAATTAAATGACTAACCAAATGTTTTCTATAAAAGGTAGTTCACAACTTGTTAATATATAGGAAATGGAACACATATTATTCTTCTTAATAAACTCCTAGAATGCATTTATACAAGTTGGCTAAAAGTAATAATAAAAAAAGAATACAAGAAAGAAGAAAAAAGGTTGCTGAACAATCTTTCTAAGCAGTACACTGTTAAGACAATTCACTGACAGAATGGATGGTATTACGTTCTAGCATAAACTCAAACATGGTGGAATACCATATGCTTAAATTCATTCTAAAGAAGCTACTCACAAAACAAAGTAGCATCTAAGCATGAATGTAAGAATCTGGATATCACCAATTGTATCTTTATTGTTCCATAACATAACTGTGAGCTCCAAGAACATTAAACAACAACATGGACTCTCAGTGCAAAGTTCTATCAGGGTTGGTCTGTGACACACTGACCTGATGTCACCACAACCCGACTCTGTGCAGGTGAGTACACCCACAGACCACAAGGCTGTACACTGTGGGCTAGGAGCAACTGTCTGGGCAGATGTACTGTTACATTCTTTTCTTTGGTTCCCTGTGATTAACCCAGTTATGTGCTTGGAAAATAATGTCCACTATTATTAGCTTCAACAAACATGCAATGAGCACTCATTAGATGGCAAGGACTTTGAGAAGTTGCATGTAAACTATTCCCAATGCTGCAAAATTCTACTTACTTATTCAGTTTATACCTAAGGCCCAAAGACAAAACAACGTCAAGGCCACCTCGCTAGCCAACATAAATGCCAGCTCCATTATGACAGTCAATTCTGAGTGTCAACTAGATTGGACTGAGAGATGCCTTGAGAACTGGTGAACCAGGACTTCTGGGTGTGCACGTGAAGGGGTCTCCAGAAGAAAATCAGCAGCAAGAGTGGAGGCACAGCTATAATAGAAAATATGGGAGCAGCATGGGTAATGGGCCGGAAGAGCCCGGAAAGGGCTGCACCACTGCAGAGAATCACCAGGATGCGAGGCTCTAAAGGGCTGACAGAAGGCGGTGCAGCATCGATCTGCTGGGAAGTGGAAGAGAGCCCTCGCGTGTTACCCAGCTGCAAAGAACAAGGGCGCTGAGTCCCCGATGTGGACTAGAAGGTTCTCTAGCCTACTCAGAGTCCACTGACCCAGAGCGTCTGGGGGAGCTCAGCACGCATGTCTAAACAGCCCTCCACGCTGAGCGCTGAGAAATCACCACTCTAAGCCTCACTGCAGAAGGGGGAACAATGGAACGGGAGACCACCACCACAGAGGACTGGGAAAGGCTTTGAAAATGCCTGAACCCTCGATGCCACTCACATAAATAAATGACAGAAACCAAAGCAGAAGGCACCGACCACCCTGCCGAAGGAGAATCCGAGGAAGGTGGTTCCCTTGACACAGAGGTTCCCAGCACTCTGTCCATCCGCGGTTACTACACACGGTGTTTATCACCTTGTGCTTTGCTTAGCTCTGTACTTACCTCACGGCTGAGCTCCTAGAAAAGAGAAACTTTGCCACTAGGAGCTCTGTCTCTTCCCCACATTACTGTGTTTGGGGGCTGGTAGACATAAAGCAGAACAGGATTCATTTCTTGATTTAAATATGATTTGTTGTGATATCTACATTGAAATTTCATGAAGGTCTTGTAGATATTTCAAATATTTGAAATCACATCTAACTGAATCCTAGGTATGTACGCTTTTAGTGAGGCCTTGCTTATTGAGTACAGATACAGTATTAATACATCTCTTATAAATGATAGTGACAATAACACATAATTAGTGGGAAATGCAACGTGCTTATAATTATATAGAGAAATACTTTAATGGATACAAGACAAAAAAGATTCTTGTAGATATTATAATTAATTGCCCCCCCAAAGCAAAACCAAAAGCACCCCCATTTTGAAAATATCAGACAGGTCATAAAAACATTTGAACAAACATTCTCAAATTAAAATCCTAGTTTGCAATTAAGTTGTTATTCAGTATTAGCTTTTTCACTAAACTGCTCCTGTTAATCGACAAAGGCGTTAAGATCCAGGTAACTTTAAATGTGAAGCAAGGCCATGTTTCATTTTTCAGAATGAAATGCTTTTTCTCTTTCTTCGTAAGGTTATTTGAGATGGAGCCTCATTACACAGCTCCAACTGGTCTTGAACTCCTGGACTGAAGTGATCTCTGGTTTCTTGCTCCCAAGTGCCGACACTGCAGAGGCACAGCTTGAAATTCTGTTTTAAACTCTTTCTTCCATTTTTTCAACCATGTACAGTCTGCTTTAACAAAAGAAAGACATCTAGAGATAATAAAAGCTTCCGACTTGCACCCTCTGTGTCCCCACCACCTGGATCAAACAAAAGTTAACTGCTGCCTTTAAATCTGGGCCCTTTTGCTCTTCTTCTCAGTTCTCCGAGGCTGACCAGATGTCACTTGAGCACACGGTAGAGGGGATACTCAATTTACTGCAGCAGGCGCTGTAAGGTTTAGGACACTGCAGATGTCCGCTCAGTTGCAGAGCTCGACTTAGCATTCGGTGCTGCAGGTTAGGAGGACTTTAGAGCCATCCTGTCTTGTTCAAATCCATATTTTGTCACTTTTTAGCTACTCAGGTATTTCACTTTGCTTTTACTTCTGCTTTATGTATCGGGTCAATAACAGTAAAATCTGCCTCACCAGGACATAAAGTACCTGGAAAAGTGCCTGGCACATAGTAAGGACTCAATAAACGGCAGTGATTATCCGAAATAGCACATCTAGCTTTTATATTCCCAATCTGTTTTACCAACCGATTTGACATTTCACTACAGATCTAATTGTTAGGACTACTCATTCCTTTGTTCTTAGTTTTTAGTTCCAACTGCTTGACTTAAATAATTAAAATAGAAAAACGCAGCTTCCTTCATCTTAGATGTCACCTCCATGTCAAGTATTGCTCGACTGACTCCAGCCGAGTGGGAGATCTGATGGTGAAGAAACAGCCTAAAAGGGGGGAGTTCCGAGCTCTTGGACAGGCCCATGCAGCAGGCCGTGTAAGTTACAGCCAGCCAGAGACAATCATTCAAATCTTAGGTACCAAAAATATACCTAACAAGCAAAAGGACAACTGACCCTGGTGTAGGTGTGAACCCAGCGTAGTGCCTGGCATGGGAAACAAAGCAGCACGGTGAGAAGAGCCCGCCCTCCACTCCAGTAGCGGGCCTTCCCTCACTCCTGCTGGGGCCAGCTGCCAAGCACGTTTTGAAATTTTACTTTCTTTCTCTTTACCTTTTCCTCAAAATCCCACACTTCTACTTTAGGGTTTACATTTCTTTTTCTTCCTTTGCATGATTTAGTGCAAACCCTGCAGAGCTTCCTTTTCATATGACTGAAGACTTACACCTCATACAACAGCAAAGCTTCAAGCCCCTGGCTGCATCATCATACATGGAACACTTTCCTGAAGACACAGGCAAGTAGAAAAAGTTAAAGTACATATAATTTTGGTAATTCCTAACAATGACATATTAGTACACATCTGTTGAGAACAAAATCCGGTTATGCCTATAAACTTATTGTTATCTTTTCATGGAAATATTTTCCACAGAGCTGTCTTTTGCTGTCCGTTCTTTGTCTATCTAACTACTGTTTTGGAAAATGGACCAACTCTCCTAGCTTCAGCTATCAATTTTGTGCTAATCATCATACAAATGCAGCACAGTCTCTGTCATTTTCATAATGCTGGTGAATCCTACACTTCCCATAACCTTCTGTCTCTCACTGCATATGCTGAAATCACCTCACACTCCTCAATAGCATCTTGCATACACTGCCTGTAAAGCTTGTCTCATGGGCTTTAAGAGACTACAGAGGAAGAGGAGGACACGCCACACAGTGGCACACAGACTCCCACACCGAGTATCTTATCACTCCTGTGCTGGGAACTGTCATTGTGACACCTCAAGTTCCTGTCGACCTCTGATTTCTTCTAGAACTTTCCATCTATTCAAACATACACGGTCTAATTTGCAGATATGTCCTTCAGTGCATTTTCCATATCTAGCAGCCTCATATCTCCTTCATATCTTTGAAATCCAATTACAATTAGGGAGAATACCATGTAATTTTGATCTTTACTGTTTGCTTTCTAGTCATTTGGAAGGTTTTGCCTAGATGGCAACCTATATGATACAATAAATCCTTAACGAGTCACTATATTTTAACAAACTCCAGATATATGAGCTTTGAAAAATCACTTTAAGTCACTGGACCTCAATTTTCAAATGGTAAAAAATTAACTATTTTCTCTAAAAATCCTTTACATCAAAAACATTCTATGATTCTATGCCAAGTTCTAAGATAATTTTTATATAGATTAAAAATCAAAGAAAAGGAGTCCTTTTGGCTCATTCTTTTTGCCTAAATTCCCTCAGCCCTTTGTTCATTCTGTTGATAAAGAATTTAACCTATCACATTAGATTACGGGCATGTCTATTCTACTAGGTATCAAATCCCTCCATATACACTGAGACCTGTTTAGATTAATCCTTGTACCTGGGCTAGTGAAGAATGAAGTCTGGGTTCTTGCAGGCTTCCAACATGTTTCTTAAGTTGAAATTAATGAGGTTAAAGAGATTTAGGATGGGCAAAAATATATTAGGCTATTTGCTTTGCAATGACAACTGGTATTCCCTTTACAAAATCCTTCCTCTCTCCACTCACCTATCATCACTCAAGACACTAACATACAAGAAGGGAAAGATTGACTTCTGCAATGCACAGGAGCATATCAGCTGACACACTCAGGTCCGGGGAGGCAGACAGTCAAACTCTTCAAAGTGCAGTAAGTCATTTAGGGCTTCAATGTCCACTTACACTAAATAAAGGAAAAGGAGAGCTGTAAATTAATTCAGTAAGTAGATTGTCCACTAATTCAGTAATTCAGTTAACATCAAGAATTTCAAATTGCCAAAGACTCAAGAATTTCAACCTTCATGGATTTCATACTATATTTCAGTTTTTGTTTTAAATTTCAAAAATTAAAAAAAAAGCTTCTTTAAAGATGAACAGAATATAATATTTAAGTAAGATTTTTAATATGCAGAACTTTACCTCTCTCTTGCCAGGACTGTTTGCTCCCACACTATATGCAGATGAAATTAAAACCACTCCTTCCTCTTATCTTTCTATCACAAACCAAATTGATTCTGCTTCTCACGGGTTCCTGTAGGTGTCAAATAAGGACAGTCTGTATTCTGGTCTAGAACTTTTTTCAAGTTTGAATTCAAGAAGTCTCGTAAGAGAAGTTATTCAAGAGACACACAGGCACTGGATGAAATCTTTCATGCTTTTCGGCAGTTCTGATGTGAAATGAGCACATGGACCAAGCCAGACAATCCACCTGAGGAGTCGCACGCATCTCAGTCCATTTGCTGTATCTAGTGCCACTATGTCAACACTGTTCCAGATTTGCAGGTTCTGCAAATTTGGGGTTAATGTCACTGAAATGATGCTATGTGCTACGTGTTACCTTTAGTGGCAGAATTTAATAGCTTTATACATAGTCTTTTGTTATGGGAATCATCAATAGTCTGAAGGGTCACAATAATCTAAGGTATACTCACTGAATTTCACATTTTCCGCCTTACAGGACAAAGGTCTCAGGACAAATCCCTGTAAGATGTCAAGGGAATGATGATGCAATTGTTCCTCATCCTCCCATCAAGACTTTGCAAATGGGAAGCTCCCTGGCCTCTCCTGCTGGGGTTGGGGGTTGGGGGTTAATAAGCGGAAGAGCAGAGATCTGAGGCAGTATTAAGATGGATATAAACCCTGCTCCCCAGCACGGTGTGCTTCTCCCCCTTCATCCACAGGCTCTTCACATTATGATGGGACAAGTTACGTCTATCATCACTGTACTTAACAACGTCCAGTCCTAGGTGTTCTCACTGATACAGAGTAGCGTGAGTATTCAGGGACAGTCACACACGTCTGCTGCTGACTGTCCTCCTGCCCTGTGTCACATCACCTTCTAAGCTGGCCTGTCTGAATGCAGATCGGAAGGGGTGCCCACCTGGACGAGACCTCTACTTGGAGTGTGGGTGGCTATACTGCATGGGTTGAAATTCAGAATTTCTATGTGCAGATAACCAAACAGTTCAACTGGTGAAAGCTAATCAAATCCATAATCCTATACAGGAAGAGATTGTTACAAATAAGTTTTTTCTCAATAAATTGGGGGAAAAAAAGACAAGTGTGAGTTCAAGCATAAATATACAAGGCTAGTTTCACAGTGGGAGGCATCTCCGTATTTTCCAAAAGACAGGCTCTGTGTTGGACAGATTATTTTTTTCGTTAATGAGGAGTTATTAATTTTAGATCACGGAATGTTATAGATGACTAAAACAGTACATATTTGCTCCATTTTATGTGTGTGATTCTATCAACAAGACTCTAAAGGCATGACTACTGCAAATTTGAAAAGGGCAATGTCCACAGTGTTCCCCTGGTGCTACACAACGGCAGGTCAAACTTTTGTTCCTCTTGTCCTACAAACAATTTTCAAGCCCACGCTCAATAAATAAATTTGGTCTCAGCACTCCCAATCAGCGTGGCACAATCCCTTAGTAGCAGACCTATGATAAATGGACTTATTTTCCCAAATCAAACACTTGAATTTAAATTCAGATGAGTTAATGCAAAGGTCAACATTGTAATCAGTTCTTTTGATCTTTATAGAATTTCTGGAGTAATACATAATAAATCTGAAACAAGGCAATTTGCAGCTCTGTATGTGTGGCTGGCAATAAAAATCTTAACGATCAGAGCCTTTATGTACTTAGGGAACGTTTTATCGTAATGGCTATGGCAAGGGCTTCAATGCTGAAGAAACAATAGCAATAGATAACTCTGAAAGACTTGATTTCTTGATTGTTTTACAATTTAATAGTATAGGTATTTACACAGAACCTTAAAAGAATATGCACCTATGCTGACTGCATTTTTGAAATAGTCAATAATGTTATTATCACCACCTGGTTTTGAGTTAATTTGTTGGACATAAAATTGCTTAGGAAGGATAAAAATTAGCATATCAGATTGAAGCTAGAGTTTTTCAATATCTCCATTAAAATTACATTTCTTTGGCGTTTTCTTTATAGCATTAAAAGTTTTGGGAAGTTATTTAAAAACTAGATAGTATGCTTCAATTTGACGGCTGGTACAGAAAGTGTAATTGATTTTGGTACAAGCACAGAAGGATGCTGATGGTCTTTAAACTGAAATTTAAGGAAGAAAGAAATGAAGGGAGGGAAGAAGGGAAAGAGGAGAAGTAGTGAGACAGACAGACACTCTGCAGCCAGGCACCGAACGCTGACGGGTAGGGAGGCTTCACGCTCTCCCTTCCCACCTCACTGGCTCTCTGGGAGCACTTTACCCCTCAGCAGCAGGGCCCCAGGTTCACAGCACATCACCACCTGACTATGGGTGGAGGCAAGACGGATGCTCACAGTGATGGCAGTGATGAGCAGTGTCTTGCTCATGTTTGTGAAAATACCAAGTCTTTTTCTTTCTCTTAGCAATACAGCTGGGGACTATTGCACTGAGTGGTGAAACCTCTTTTGTCTAACTTGATTAAAGTGCTCGGTGTCCGCAGAGCAGGACTACTTGGCCTAGAGCATCTGTTCTGCTGTGGTTCACAAGAATATGTGAATGGTGCTGGTGGTTAATGGGTGAGAAAAGCACGCCAGCATTCAGGAGGCACCTCCGAATGACGACAGTCACTTGTAACAGCACTCTGATCTTCAGGAGAAAAGGACCCAGGATCTACCAAATCTGAAGCAGACGTCCAGGACTGCGTACTGAAGGGGAAAAGATTAAAACCCTGCCAGGGGTCACAGAGTACCTGTGCTCCCCGCCTCTCCTTACACCAGTCCCGAGAGGGGCCACCCTCACTCAGATCCACTCTTCTCCTCCCTTGTAACATGGGGGTTAGAAGTGGGCCTCCCATGGGAGCCTTGATTTTCTAGAGACTCGGTGAGGACACTCGGATGTATCAGATAAAAGTTTTCTAGGTACTGGGGGCACAATGACAACAATCATGACTCCCAGCTGGACCCACATGCTGCATAGGATTTGGCCACAGTTAAAAATTTTAGAACACTTCTGGGACAATAACAACAACAACAACAACAATAATAAAGTACAATCATCTGTAGTTTCCATAGTAAGTTCTTCCTTGGTGGGCAAACTTGGTTAAGGACCATTAACCTCTCTGAACATACCACTATCCTGGATAGGGCTTCTATTTTTTTTTTAAAGTCAAAAAGAGGAAAACCACAAGCCATCTTAGAAATTCTGTCCATTTCTCCGAAACTGTGGTTTTCTAGTTACTGTGTTCAAGTGTCCAACAGGAATGTAATTTCTCTGCTTCCTAACGCACATTTGCAATGACCTTGTTTCTTCCTCCTGTGGTTTCAAATTTAGTGCATACAGCTGGCCTGTCGGAGCAGGTAAAGGTACAGTCTTGAGAGTCACCGGGGGTCTGATAAGCGCTGTCTCTCCAAGTCCAATAACTACAGAAAGGCCTTGATTGGAAAAATGATCATACCAACTGCTTCCCAGCAAGTTTCTATGGCATAGCATATTGGAGAAAACTAAATCATGATGCCTGAGCCTCCTCACTCAGGTCAATTTGAGCAGCACCCTAAAAGTCAGCAGTAGTTAAATGTATGCATGACGAGAAAGTCCAATTTTTGTCCTCAAAGATGTAAATACGTATTTGTCATCTACTGTGCACAGCACAATGGTTTGGGAAGCTCACCACAGAACATAATGATGTCATCTGCAAGTTCACAACACAAAACTTTCAGATCAATCACTCAGGGGAGCTGAAAACAGCCAGGCTGAATCGTGTAAAATGATAAAACCTCTGTCACAAGTGACATTTTACCTGTTTCTTCCTGGCAGAATGAAGTATGGTTTCCCACAGGAAGAACAAACCTCCCAGTTTTCTGATTAGCATGTCCAAATTCCAAGGAAATCACTAATGCACAAAAATCACAGGAGAACTTCCTTCTGAGACTCAGTAACGTTCTAAGGAGGGGACACACAACCTGCGGTCACAAAGTGGAGGGTGTACAGTGAGGTAGTTTTTCTTAAAGAATCTTGCTGGGTTCACACATGAACATCTATGGGTTCGTTGCCTTGCCTTTTTCTTCTGATTGTAGGGCTCTGATGGTTCTCAAGTGGAAGCTGGAAAGCCTGCAGCAGCAGGATGAAGGAGCTGTGCCGGCAGGCTGAGGGGTCTGCCCTGGAGCCAGGAAGCGATGCTCTAGGTAAGGACCAGGGCTGCCCAGAAGAGAAGCTCAGCCATAGGTGCCTGTCTCAGGTTTTCTTAGCCCCCTGGCTCCTGGAGGTAACACACTGGCATTGATACTGACACAGACACTAGGCCTTCCTTCATCAAAACAACCCACAGCCGTGGGCATCCAACCCTTTGCTTTCCTGGGCACACTGAATGAAGGGGAATTATCTTGGGCTGTGCATAGCTAATGTATGTAAGTTTCAGATTTCCTTCATTTACAAATATTTTATTATAATATTCTTAAAAAGAAGGTAAAGAGCCCGCAAGCCACGGGGTAGACACCACTGCATGCACTTTCCCTTCTCAGCCCAACTTCCTGAAGACCTGTCAGTCATTCTGTTCCCACGGAGATGATGCACCCGGCCTGGGGGTGGCTCTGCCTCATGGGGGAACGGGGGGGGGGGGGCTTTGCAGTCCTATCAGTACAAAGGCCCTCACTAGATACAGCCCCTCTACCTTGGCCATCAGATGGGGACCAGCGGTGTGGATAAGCTGTTTCATCCTGCACAGACCCCAGCCACTGCTAAACCCAAAGAAGTCGCCATCTCCAGACACCACTAAGGAGGATCAGAGAACAGTCAGGAAGACAATCAGCCCAGAAAGGGAATGCATAGCAGACCTGCCAGCAGGGGAAGGGCAGAGACTGTAAGCAGCTCAGAAGAAACCAGAGGATGAGCCCGAAGACAGTAGGTGGCCCTTGGTGGCTGTGGCACCTACTGGAAGCTGCTGCTCTAGGATCTGCTCTAGAAGGTGGGGTTTGGGGAAGTTTCTGGACAAAGGTTTGGGAATCTTCAGAGCAAAGGGCTCAGCCCAGGAAGAACCAGCAGCAGCTCACAAAGATGCTAGGTTGCTTTCAGAAATGCTGTTAAGCCATAAGGAAGCTTTGCAACAGAAAGCCAAAAAGCAGACCAGTGAGGGCGAGTTGAAGGTGGCAGTGAGCTTAGGTGACAGCAGGGAGTGACTTCCCAGAGTGCTGATGCCAGGGAGTTGCTGGCTGAAATGTAATGGAAAGGAAGCAGCTGGACGACTCTTTCATGGGGATGAACTCTAGAAGCTACATCTGGCCGGACACCTTCCAGCCACATTCTAGGGCATGCACAGTCCCCAGCAGGAGTCTCTGTGATGGGACTAAGTATACCGTATGCTGGAACTGCACTTCCTGCTTTGAGTGAGTTTTTCCCTTCCTCCAGATTCAGGCTCTTTCAGCCTGACAAGGAGACAATGGAGGCCTGAATGAGGAGGGGGGACCTGGGAGTCTGGGCAGACTCTGTGGGCAGCAAACTGAGCCAGCGATGGCCAGCGGGTCACAGGCAGATGGGTCTGCAGGAAGAAACCTGTGAGGACAGCAGACACAGGAGCCCCAGGGAGCCATGCGGGAGCCAGGCCATCACCTGACTGGGAGCACATTCTGCACCATCCTGCTGAGGCTTCTCAACTTCTCTCTACACTTCTGCATTTGAGCTTGCTTGGAGTTTTTGGGCTCAGTAAATGTGACAAAGGTTTAGAGTAATGACATCCACCTCACACAACAGATCTGGGAGCTTTTAGTATAAATTTGTATCTTTTTAAATATAAAGCACTAGTCTGGAAATAGAAATTTCTGTAAAAGCAAACATTTCAACAGGGATGACAGAGGAGCCTGCCAGCATACTGAGGCCCTGTCTATGCCCAGTGAGAGCCCACCAGGGGCCTGCAGCACAGAGAGCCTAGATCTGTGCACAGAGGGAGACCTTACACTTTCCCTCCTGCAGAAGGAAAGCAAATTTCCTAAAAAACTCTGATCTCCCAATCAGAAGTGGTCGGTCCTCCACTGCACGTCTGAAACACTCCATGGTGGTTTGATCTAATTGCCACTTGTCTAAAGAGGTCTCTCTTGGTGCCAGTCTCTTGGCAGTAGATTATACATCATTTCTCAGTTCTCCAGCACATGGAACGCAATTAAGTATGAGACTAAGCCAGGAATTATGGAATCAAACTGGAACTATTTTTCTTTTTTTTTTAGACAGGGTCTTGCAATGCAGCCTAGGCTGGCCTCGAACTTTCAGCGATCCTCCTGCCTCAGCTTCCCTAGAGCTGCGGTTACAAGCATGCCCCCACTGTACCTGGCCAAAACCGGGATTTTGAATGGCCCCAATGTATAAAAACTAAAGTGAGCTACAGTGCATAAAATGTTTTATAAACCATAAAGCATGAAACACATATGAAATCCACATATAATATGCATTTTGCCAAATTAAAACAACACTGAGATTCCATTTCACTCCAGAAAGAATGGCCAAGATTAAGAAATTAACTAATAACAATGCTAGAGGGGCTCTGCAGAAAAAAAGAACTTTTCTCTGCTGTTGGGGCAATGTAGACTGGTGCAACCATTGTGGAAATCAGTGTGGAGGTTCCTCAAAAAGCTAGGATTGGAGGTTCCATTTGACCCAGCTACCCTGCTTCTGGATATTATCCCAAAAGAACTGAAAACATCATACCATAGTGATATATGTGTGCCCATGTTCATAGCAGCACATTTTGCAATAGCCAAGTCTTGGAAACAATCCAATGCCCATCAACTGAGGAATGGATAAAAAAGATATGAGTTTTTTTTACAGTGGAGACCTACTCAGCTATAAAGAAGGATAAACTAGAGGCTTTTGTAGGTAAATGGATGTGACTTGAGACCATACTCATAAGGGAAATAAATCAAACTCACATGTGTAAATACCGTATTGCCTCTGTACTACAAGAAACTGAAAGATTAAATAAGATGCAAAATACACAGTAAATATTGTGTAAGGGTTAGTAACTGCTCAAAGGGCAAAAATAATTGGGATAGGGGAGAGGAGGGAAGAAAGAAGGGAAAAGGAAAAAGATACAAATTTGTACATACATACATAAGATAGCCAAGATGACTATACTACTAATTCTATTAGTTCTTGGAAAAGAACAGTTAATACTCACATGATTAGATCAATTTTGCACATCTGTATCTGTTATCTAAGCAACTCTTTTGAAGATAACCACATGCAATATAACAACCACTGTTAAGTTCCTATCGTCTGGTTTTGAAAGCCTATATTGTTATCGTTTTGGAGTTATTGTTGGTGTGGTTTCTCTTTTGCTTCTTTTCTATGTTTTTTCCCTTTGAAATAAAAACCAACGAAAACATAATATGCACCTTTGAGCACACGGGCAGATGTTAACAGGCACCTGTAATCCTACACTTCAGTGCTATCTCCATGTTGCCTCTGGCCGAGGACCTGGACCAGCGGTGGGGAACCGCTGGCTGTGTGCTGCACTCAAAGCGCCAAGGTTCGGCATCATGGCGCAGACTGCAGTGCTCTAAATATGTTGTCGCCAGCCTCCTGGTTCCCACTGAGAAAGGAGCCTCTCTCTACGGAGCTGTCACTCCACAAGGAACAGTGATTACCTGCGCAGTTAGGACTCAGAGGCACCTGCCTCTCTCAGCCTACGCAAAATCAGAAGCATCTACAGCAGAAAGAATACTCTGAATATTTACAGGTTTGATGTCAAGAACTCAATTTATTCATGTGATAAAATTTATTTATTTTTTCACGTAATATAATTTATAAGCATTTTAGGGGGATGTAGGCTGGGAGGTGCTGCTTTCTCGTTAAAAACAACAAACATAATCATAGAGGTAACACCTGAGGAGTTTCTACTGCAAGATGGAAAAAAAAAAGTTGTTCTCCTTGCACACAAGTGCTTGTTTTTTCCTCCCTCCTGTGCAGCTTTGTCTCCCGGTGCCTAAGCATCTGTGCAAAACCCTTCAGCTTCTGCCCAGTCTCTTCAGTTCTGTGCAGGTAGCCCTGAAAGAAGGTCTCGGCTGAACGACAGATCTGTTCTCTGAACATTTACAATGGGCTAGGTGAGGGGTCACACCAGATGCATTTTAACTGATCTCAATGACTAAATGGCAACTGAAAACCCAGGCAAGTACTTAAGAGAGTTTCTCACATTAATTGTATAGGTTTTATTTCCCTTGAGGGCACAGACTCTCCCTCCATGCCAAACACATTTAAATATTAGAATGCCTATGTCAGCATTGTCAAGGACATCTAACAGCTGGAAAATTAAGATGGTATGTGTGGCTTTTGGATAAAAACGTTTCAGAAATATCTCTGATATTCCTGTTACTATGTGTGGAAACTGCCCATAAGCACAGTTGTTTTGATTGGTATGTTTTTCTTTCTCCATCTCTGAGACCTGAGGACCACAAATGAATGAAAATCATCCAGAAAGAAGCTGAATGCTGAGCACCTCTGGACATTCATTCATTCACTCAAATGTTAATTCATTCTTCTTTCAGCACACATTCCCAGATCACTCAGATTCCTTGGCAAGACACACCTCAGAGCTATGTGTGAAAATAAACAAAGGATGGGCTAGTTGAGTTAGATAACTAAAGAAAGAAAGGGTACCATTCTTGAGCTAGGAGCACTGATCAGTGGGACAGCGCCTGCCTCACAGAGGAGCTCCAGCACTGTGACCACCACCTCTGCAATCCACAACAACAGCAATAGCAACAGCAACGACAACAGCAGCCACACATCACACAGGAAGACTTCTTACCAGTAAATCCATCTAAAAATTAACTTACTCTACGCAAACTCTTGGGAGTCAGGGGAAAAAAGAAAAGTTTAAAGGCTGAAAACTTTCACTGCATGTAGATTCAGTTTAGTTGGGTGTAAATATCATGTTTTACATTGATGCCAATTGCTGCAAATTAAGTACAAACAAAATCAAACCTCATTTCCAAAAACTTCCTTCATATAAGAGCTCTGCATGGAGACACTGTCTCCCCCTCAGCTTCAGTCTCCAGTCTTCCTGACATGCTCATCATGGGTTCCCATGTTCTCACCTAAATAGTACCCAGGCTGAGGCAGCCCAAGCCCATGGTGGGAACCCAGGTCCCACATCAGGTCAGGGCACTCCACAAGCCACGGTGTGGGCTTGTAAGCTCAAGTTCCTTGGTGATTAAAATATCTGTTTTCACAGGCCATAATGAGGATTGAATATGTAAATACTTGTGAATATACGGAAACAGATCTAATAGCAGTATACACCTAGTAAGAGACAACAATTATTATTCATTTATTTACCAAACACTTATAGACACCTGCTCAATGCTGGGTACTGATTTGAACCTGGGGACAAAGAGGTAAACAAAACAGTCACCGCCTTCAAAGTCATCATCCTCAGGGGGGAAGTCCGATGATAAACAACAAAAAATGAAAACCACTCAACACTGAACGGAGCAAACCCCTCTGAGGAGATGGACACTCATTCACAACTGAATTTGCGTGGCTTACAATAAATAGGCTGAGAAAAATATATAAATGAAACAAAATAAAAAAGTTTGATAATTTGCTCCCACAATGGAAAATCATCATCCATAATTTGTTTCCAAAAATAAAGTAACTTAGCTCATAAATGAAATAATTTCAAAGGATTTTTAACTTCCTCTGGCCAGTAAGAACTCGCCATCTGTTTCTTGTAACCATGATGAACGCCTGTTCGAGTGTGAGCAGTGTGTGCTCCTGAACTGCACTTTTAATCATGTATTATATTAATGTAGTTATTTAAATACATGTAAGGAAGCAAGTAAAATGCGTGATAATTAAGATACGCAATTACATGATTAGTAAGTGTAATTAAATAACATATCAACACAAACATTACGGTTAATTTCTGCCTACATGGATAGATATACTTTCACACACTTATGTATTAGATTATATATTTGTAAAAGGATTTGTAACTTGAAATAACATTTTAATTTAATCAAAATAATTTCAGCAGCCCTAAGTCATTAAGAAAATAAGAGTCCTAGAGAATCCATCCACAAAAAAGAGAGAATTCTAGACTAGTCAGGAGGGCAAACACCTTAGGTCAGATACAAAAAAAGATTTCGGGTGCCCACGCCTCTGCTCCGGAGAGGCAAACCTGGGGCCTCATAGACCTGCTCACTTCACTCTCAGGGTTAGCGAAGGCCAGGGCCATTCCAGAGCGATCAGAGGGAGGATCCTGGTGGCACAGTGTCAAGTAGGACCTGACAGAAATGCAAAGTGTGGGAAGGACCCTAACTCACACCCCAGGAGGCAGAAACCGGGCGCTGGCCAGCGACCAATGCTTTGCCACACTCTACCCAAGACTCCCACTGCACAGATCTAGGCTAATGCATCTGAGGAATCAAGACATCTCGCCTTTCAGCCAGGAGAACAGGGCCAGGGATGTCCCCTTTGCCACATGCTCTAGCAATCTGGACCATGAAGTGAGAAACAGAAAGAACAACCCAATTCTAGGTTGCGTGTGAGTAACTGTATCTAACAGTTCAGGAAGCTGTGCCTGGTACTGTACTGTGCATTTATATCCATTCAAGCAACAAACATACTCAGAAGTGTTACGGTTAACCCACCGTACAGGAGAGAGCTAGTGTTTACACCAGCCACATAACTAGGGCTGTGTAAGGTCAGATGGGAAGGAGGTCAAATCATGTGCTTTTGGTTAAGAAAACTGTTGTTTTTTACTGTTGCAGTTTGCAATTATCAGCACTATATGCCGAGCTTTATTAAGAAATGAAGATATATCATCAATCATACTTCGTTTTAATGTAACCACAGTACTGTAAAATACTTAAATAAGAACACTGACTTACTAGCAGTAATGTGCATGAGTTGAACCTTCTACATTTTAAAAATAATTACCACACTGGCTATACCTCAAGTTCAGCCTTTACATACCAGAGGACACTGAAAACACTGACCATGACACACTGAACACTATACACACACGCTATCCAGATTGTGTTCATATTGCTTAGCACCTTTCCATGCTGAAGGCACAGGTCAGGCACCTAATACAAAATCAATACTGGTGTATGTGTTCCAGAGGCCCTCAGGTAGTAGAAGGAGCCCCAGGAGGGCACGGGGAGAAGACTCCATGTTCAACAGAGAGCTTCAGCTGGACAGTGATGAAAAGTCCATATGTTACACTGCCACCATAAATTATGCTGGAACGAATGGGCAGGCCACAGAGGGGTTCCAAAAATAGGTTGAAACTGCTCACAGTCTGAAAACAAATTACCTAAATTCCAGTATGAGAAAACAGTGTTCTTGACATGTATTTCATGTGGCCACTAGTGGGTGAAGCTGGGTCTACAGAGATGAAACACAATATGCTTTGGTTTTGAAACTGGAGTTGTTATTCCACCCAGACACTAAAATGCAAAGAAATCTGCATGAGTCTGGTGCCCCAAGGCTTCAAGATTTATTATGAAGGGGCGGCAGGATGAACGATGTTGTGTCAGCTGGCCTCAACTCGGGGTGAACCTGTGCTTTGAAGAAACGGAAACCTCACAAGTCTTACCTTTTAATCATCTGAGAAGTTTGAATCTGAATTATGCAATTATTGGCTTATCTAAAAATATATATTTAACGATAATGGGAATCTTATAAATCAAAAGCAGAAATGCCCAAAGGGTTCTACTATTACTCATTTTGCTTAGAGACAAATATCAGATCGAAAACATTAAGAAACAGTTGAACGATCATTTTCCTTTGAGGGTGGAAAATAAATGTAAAGGGTGTAATAAAAACACACTAAGAAGATGCTGACAGTTTTTATTAAGGCTGGCTATGGTTAATTGGAAAATCAACTACTTCTCAGTTACTAAATATATAAAATTACATTTTAAGAAATCATAATGGCAAGGAAGAAAGCAAACAGAATAATATATCATTAGATGCTTTTCATAAGTGAATACTCAACAAAATCCCACATTTTTAAAAATTTGGGAGGTCTTTAAGGAACACTAGTAAATCCTAGAATCATATACTGATTCATCTTATCATGAAACTAAAATATTGAGGGATCAAGTAACTATGATTTCATTTTACATCAAATAGTCCTCAATGTTAAATTTTGACAGGACTGCACCAGGATAATCATCATCATTACTATTATTATTATCATTACTAATAATATGCTTAGTGTATGATTCCATGGCAGCATTGAGGGAATATCAAACGATATGAAAAATAATTCTAAAGTTCCAGCAAAACCGATTTGCACTGTTTTCCACATTGTTTTGAAAAATGAAATGGGAAATTATATTGTGTTGAAGAAACAACATATACATTTTTTTGTTCAACATAAAAAAACCCCTCAGCATTCAGAACACAGATTTAAATTGTGATACAGGTTGGGTTAAAATCATTTTGTCATTTAAGAGATCCCTTCCCAACAATGGAAAATGTAATTAGCTGGGTTTTGGGAAACAAACAGCAATTTTATGTAACTGAAAAGCAACCAACAGCTCCCAACCAGGGTAAAAATGTTACATTGAGCTACCAAGAGAGAGCCACACAGTGCAAAGCCATATTGTCCCACAGCATGAAGTGATCAGATACCTGCCTCAAATGATGGACAGCACTGGCCTAGTGAGCAGGCAAAAAAAATCCCATTTACTCTCGTCCAGATGGGACCAACTGGACGCTTCAGCGCAAACAACTCATCCTTCTTCGGACCTTCTTGTCCAGCTCCTGAGCTAGCTCCAGCTGATAATGATGAATATCAAGGCTGCAGTAAAGTGGGTGACAACAGAAGCCTTGTTATAGCTGCCAGTCTCTCAGTCTTGTCATTATTACACATTGAAGATTTATTTGAGTTTATTGTTGCGCACAGGGTCTAGCCATTTGCAATTCATCACCTACTACAGAAAGTTCAGGATAGTGGCCGAAGCTATAATTGCCACCTCCACCTGCTTCGGGAAATTATGAGGCCGCCAGCTAGGGCAGCCCAGCCCTCACTGAGGCCCGAAAGTCATAGAAGCTTCTGGTGTAAAGCAGTCAGGCCCTATCTGTCCTGGAGCCTCTCTGGAGATCATATTAATAATGCTAGATCGCCTGGCAATTGATTAAATGGTATCTGTAGCACAGACTGCTCACAGCAATCACTAAGAGGTTACAGCTACAGGAAAGGAGTAACGAAACTACTACACCAGCCACGCCACAATTTGAACATTGTTATTACTGTAAATGCCGCAGTTACTAAGTGTTGACTCAGGAATACATAAACACATATCTTTATTTAATCTGACATAATCTTTTAATTTTCCAAACTCAAACTAGTCTAACTATAAATCTGGCTTGGGAAGCAGGTGGAATGTAATTCCTACACAAATAATGATAATGCAAACACTTGCACATCAGTAATGCTGTTAGGATAATGAAGATCACATATAAAAAATGATCTTGCTTCAAGACAAAAATATACTCATACATTTTAGATTTGGAGGTTGCTGTACTATGTTAAATGAGCTTAATTTGGGAGAAATAAAAAATCAGTAATAAAAATAATCATTCTTGATTTTTCGATTAAGTCATTCTCCCCTATATTATTTTTCAGAAAGATATAAGCATTTTCCTTACTCTGCCAAATACTTAGAATGATTTTTGAGAGCTTTTACCTGTACTACTTAGCAAGATTTTATAGCCAGTGTTACAAAGAGCAGGAGTTTATAGAATTTCTATTCTTTTAAAGTACACAGTTCACTCCCCAGTGTGTTCATGCACAGATGGCTTGAAAATTTATGACATTTGAATCTTTTCCTGCTTAATGTTACTTCTTGGTTGCCACATCCTCACTGTTAATGGATTTGTAAAACCAAGATTTACTGAGATAGGTCGGCATTTTCTGTCGCAAGTCTTCTTTAAAAGAAAAAAAGATCAGTGCGGCAAGTAATACAGAAAACAGGTAAGCTCACGGAACTTACCAGAAAACCAAACAATTTGCCAAGATTGTCTCCATCTTGTTTGATTCCCCAGAATCTAGTGACATGCGCTGCTTTCATTTAGGGGCTGTGGAGGAATCGGAGCTCTAAGCGGGGAGCTTCTGTCTGGCCTCTTTTACAAGTAGTTTTACGTGTTCACTACTGCTGCCTCCTGCACTCTGGCTATGAAGTCAGTGCAAGGCGGAGGACTGGCTCATGCTCGCGTCTTAGGGTACCGAGGTTTGACAGTGATGAAGTATTTGGTCTCACTATAAATCTCACCTTCACTAGTGTCAGGGACGCTGTGAAGCAAAAGTTGCGTAATATTTAGTAATCAAATTGCGTCTCAAAAAAACGTGGTAAAAACAAAATGAACACAAATGAACATCTCTGCTAACTGCCCCGAGTTATCACTCCTGAAGAACAGGGACCAGAGGCTGAGAGGCCTCCACCCTCCCTTACCCTCACCTACTGCCCACCAGGGCAGAAGTGGCTGCCTGCAGGAACGTTCACTAGGGAAGCCAGCAGGTGAGGAAGTCCTCCCTATGGACCCACTTAGGGAACCTGTTAGGCTTCGAGAGTCACCTGCGATTCCCAAATCAGCTCTGGCAAGGAAAACTCAGGCTTTTGCTGGAATGCTCAGCAACACATAGAGGTGACTGGAATTCTGATCTTGCAGAACTTTAAACTGACACCTGCACTTTGCCTTATAAAGCTGATGAACCGCCACACACTCTGTGTCATACATTTCTGCGGGGTGAAGATTAGTATCACATCCATTTTACTGAGCAAGGGACTGAGGTTCAGAGAGGAAAGAGACTTGTCTAGTTATAAATTAGCAGGGCGGCACAGCTGGATCTTAAACACATCTTCTGTTTACTTTGTACCTCACCTACGCAGAACAGGTACAACCTGCAAATCTTGTGACCTGCTATTTCCTCATACTGAAAAGACAGTGAGATTATGTAATAAATGAATTTATCGTCATAGCTTCTTCAAAAAAGCTTAAGTTTTCCTTCTTGAAATAGTTATCTAAACAATAAATGGACTAGAACTAAAATTGTAAAAGAAAATCATGATAGCTTTTTTTTTTTTTTTTTTTTGCTTTCTTTGTAGCAAAATACAGGCTTTATATGGTCGAGGCTGTATCAAAACCTACAAGTACTGGAAGGGTTGACAACCCGAGCCAAGCATTAGAGTGTCGACACACTCAAGACCCCCTCTCCACCTCTGCCTCACCTGCACCTCTCCCTTCTCTTCTGGTGGTAACAAGTCTCGATTCTGATTTACTATTTCTCTTTCCACTCAAGAGTTATCACCTAAGTATGTATCCCTAAACAATAATGTTTACTTTTGCAAATTTGTACAAACAGAATCGACCTGTATGGAGCTGTTTTCTAAGATTCATTAATGCTGATGGACTCATTGTTTTCTTTTTTATTCTGCTAATATACTTTACACTGAATAAATGTATTTTATCCACTCTTCTGCTGATACTGATTTGTGGGGTTTGGGACACGTTTTGTACTATTGTAAAGAGTGACATTATGGGTATTTTTGTAAAATGTGTCCTAGAACAAAGGGGTAGGGACAATTGTGAATTCATGAGGTATGCACTCTATGGGCTTGTGCCTTTTTCCACACGTATATACTAGTACACACTCCCCTGACTTTCAATTTGCTAACAATCTGTATTGTCAGTTCTTAAGTTTTGCCAATCTGATGAGCAAGAAATGGGATCTCACTGGGAGTTCAATTACTACTCCCTACTTTCTAATTAAATTGGAAAAAATTTCATGTTTACAGACTATTTGTGCTTCCTCTTTTGGGAATCACTTTTGTGTTTGCTGAGCCTTCTGCCAGGCTTTATTTCACATACAAAAAAAATTTCTCCCAGTCTGTGACCTGGTATACGTTTCATGTAAATATGAAGATATCATTTTAAAATGTCAACTTCTTGATTTTAATGCAGGTGAAATCATCAGTCTCTTCCTTGATGGCTTGAAGTTCTTTTGCCCTATCTAAGAACTCCTGACTGCCACAGAGCTGTTCTTCATTATTTTCTTTTTTTATTATTTTAATTTTAATGTTTTTTCTTCATTATTTTCTTTAACCTTTCCCTTTCCATTTGTGTTTTACCCATTTGGAATCAATTTTGTAGTGTGATCCAGGGTAGAGTTTCTAACTTCCCATATAAATAACACTGCCTCCTTGTCACTGATTAAACGGCCTGTTGTTTTCCCATGATCTGTAATATTACCACTGCCATCTGACAGACATCTCTATTCAAGTGGCTTTGCTCTGGACTCTTTGTTCTTTTCCACTTGTTTATTTTCCTACCCCTGTATCAGTATCGTAGTGCCCAGAAATATATCCTTCATAAGACAATATTTTGAATTTCTAAAAACTTTCAGTACATAATATCCATATCATAAACTAAGCAGAGATAAACTTTATTACCATTTAACAAGGTAATAAGCTGAAGACACAAGTTAATCTATAAAATGCTTCTGAATCACAATTCATGTCTTATGATCCTCAAATCACTGATTTTCTAACTCACTGACTTTTTCAAAGCATTTTCACATCATCTCATCAATCCCAAACTTAAAATGAAACTAATTATATATAATGGTTTTACATTATTGTGGAAGGAGCATAGATTTTTGAGGCACATGCAAAAGATCATTTAAAATGGCTCTAAGAGACTGGTTACGGATTCTTGAATAAATGATTTTCCCTTCTGAAGCTAAAGTAACTTCACTTGTACAGAGTGGTTAACCATTATTGTGACAAGTTTCTGTCTGTAATATAGGTGACATATTTAAACACAATATTATGCTTCATATATATAAGGTATAATAAAAATTGATGAATGTTTAAATAAAAAAATTCATTACACTAAAAGACATATTGCTTTAATCCTCCTCAAAATAGTCTCTCATTTTGGGGATACTTATCCAGCTGTTCTTGGCCTTTCTGGACGTTTTCTTTCATGATCATCTTCAGTTGTGCTGTGCTGGCTGCCTCTATGTCCTGAATCCATTTAAACCACTGCTCTTCTGCATCACTCTGACCCTGGGTAAAGCCAGAAGTCTCCTGGTGCCAGATCTGGTGAGTAGGGGGACAAGGACACCATTGGGTTTCTGTGAGCCTGACTTTCCACCACATGGCCCCAGGCAATGGTATTCACTTATCTTTACCACAGGAAAGACACAGGAAGAGGACTCCCAAAACTGCTTCAGAAAGGGCCCAAAACAGGATAAATGTGTATGAATCAAAGAAGAGGATTCTGAGGGATTAACAGCAGTCTTACTGTAATAAGTTTTTAAAATATAAACAATCACTGTACATCATTTATCCCTGATAGTACACTACACAGGCAATATTTTAATGATGAATATATCTGAGCTCATGCATCTTTTACCAGTAAAGCTTCATCAGAGATAACATTAGACAACACTGGAATCACATGTCAAGTGTACAAACTGAATTTTCTACTGTGGTGATCAATACACCTCATTCTGACCATGTGCATCTAGACATCCAAGGAGCCACCAGCTGTCTGTGATCCAGCTCCTGCTCACTGGCATCTACTTTATAAAAATTAAATTCTAGTGTCTGCCTTGCTCACACTTCTCATATTTCAACTCAACAAAACTCACAAGAGTTACGGTTATTAGTAAAACGAGACTAATAGACGACCATGATCAATTGTAGCCTGGAAGTCACCCACCTTCTCTTTTGTTCCTTCTTCCAACCAGAGATGGCGCAGCAACCCCGTCCCCAGACTCACTAAGTCCCTGTCAAGAGAACACATCCCTTGGAAGAATTCATCTTTGGTCTTCGTCTCCTTCAGTTCCTCGCCCAGCTGAGCAAGCTGCCACCCACCTTCCACTCTGCCTCACTAACGGATATAATTACAGTAACATAAGTAGATGGTTAAAGAATCAGTTGAAACCACACCAAATCTCGGAAATCCTATGACAACACGGTAATTTTTAGAGTGCAGAAAAGAGACAAGAAGTTAGATGACTTGTCTAGATCACACAGCCTTAGTTACAAGACCTAAAATTCAGTTATTGTCACAATACACAATACAGTCATCCGCTGCACTGTGCTCATTCTGAAATGTAAACGTATCACTTCCTGTTAACATAGCTCCAAAGAGCGAGATGTTAGCTGACTCTAGATATGCTTTGAATACTGAGTCTTTCACAGCTCTTCTCTAACTAGGATGCAAAAACACCAACTCCTTTTCCCAGTAGTCCACTGGGAGCTGTCCGTGGCCTTTCCTGAGTACCATCTCTAGACCCACCTGCAGGTGCTCTTTCCTCCAGAAGGAAGGCCATGCCTCATCCCTGCCTTTATCTTACAGCGTGATGCATAAGCATGCTGGTCCTGGAGGGCACTGGGAAGGGCAGGGCAGGAAGCCAGGTGACAAGGCATGATGGAAGCAAGAGGGCGCAACCCTACGGGAGCTCAGGCTTGAGCGGGAGAGAATGAGCAGGGAGCAAGCGAGCCGAAGGAAGGGGACAGCAAGGCAGCCCAGGCCTGGCCAGCTCAGGTGCTGAGCTGGGGGACCCGAGGTAACCACAGGCTGCGAGGGAAAGGGAGCCCGGGAGCCCACGACTCTGAGCACTGAGAAGGTGCGCAGGCAGAAGACTCCAGAGAGGCGGGCGGCTGACTCTGTTCACCCCCCTGGTCCTCATGGGCTGCCCTGGCCTGGACACCTGGTGTCAGCTGTCCCCTCCGCACCTTCTGGTGACACCTGCCGTCCGCAGGGCTGGGCGCAGGCAGGCACAACTCCAGCGGCTTCCTCAGGCTCGCACTGGGGTGCCTGGCCCATGCCTGGCCCTGGACCCCAAGGGTCCTGTCCTTCACCCCACCACAGGTCTTCTGATGCGCCCCACTCCTCTGACTCTTCACCACCCACTGCACATTCCTCCCTTTTTGCTTATCAGTAGCTCACAGTTAATGGGGTTCAATAGATGTTGACAGGAATGGAAAGGTCTGACATTTTCCAAATGCAAGGAAGAAACGTGTTGCCTAATTCTAAGTGGTGTCTCGCACACACAGAGGCATGTAGGTACACACAGATGCATGCACGCACACACACACACAAGCACATTTCTTCCTTAATCAAGACTGAATGCTATCAAACAAATATTAAGTGACTAGATAAGACCCAAACATTGAGAAGGCAATGGCTCAGCCACTGCAAACCTCCGACCCTGTGCGGTAGGTGCTCCCAGAGGGCAGCCTGTCTCAGCCCCTGCTCCAGCAGCAGCACTGGGAAACTGGGTCATTTGTCACAGGAAGTGGCCTCTGCCTTGTTAAAGGCTTAGCACCCTCCCTGGAAGCTGTAGCTTCCTCCGCAGGAGGAGGAATTGCTAGGGGTTAAGACCCACTGATTCACAGCAACTTTATTCCTGTTGGTACTAATCAGTTAAAGCTTTCATTTTTCACTTGCTTTCTCTGTAGGAAGGCTCTCTTTTAAGATCATAAAAGCTAGTAAAGACTTTGGTAAAGCATTAGGTGACAGAATAGCAGGAAGCTCAAATGGCCCACACTTCAATGGAAGAGGCAAAGGGACACGAAGTTGGAAAATGTTGACAACATGAATAATTCCATGTTTATTGAGTATAACTGAGAAAATCATAAATACTTACAGCGTAGAACACCATGTTTTGAGCTACATGGGCACTGTAAAATGATTATTGTCATCAAGCTCATTAACACCCAGCATCTCACATATTTAACAGCAATTCTATTTTTTTTTTTTTTCTTTTTCGTTTTTATCGGTACTGGGGATTGAACTCATGACTGCCTGCTTGCAAGGTAGGCGCTTATGCCGCTGAGCTAAGTCCCCAGCCCCCATTAACAGCAATTCTTAATTTTCTCCTTAGAAACACTTCGTAACAGCGTAAGGCGAGCACCCCTAACACTGTGGTCAGCACCTGACTCCTAGACAGACCAAAGCAGTTGACTACACAATTTCCTGCTGTCTCCACATCAGTGCATCACAGAAAATTTAAAACATTGGCAATGTCATAGAGACTGTTTGGTCACCAACTGTTTTGCTGAGGAGTCCGGCACACAACTTTTTACTGCCCTAAATTTATGATCTCAATATTGATGTCATTAATAACTTGTTTCCATCTCATCATTCATTTGCCCTTACAGTCCTCTCCTCCCGCCATCCCCTTAGTCCTTTCCTTTTGACTAATAACAGTCTTTCCTCTATTTTCCTCTTTTAGAGTCCACGTATTACAGAAAATGTGCAATGCCTGTCTTTCTTGAGTTTGGCTTATTTTACTTAGTGTGATGATCCCCATTCCATACAGTTTTGCTGCTAATGACCTAAGTTTTTGATTTCATTGGATCCAAATGTACAAGCGGGTACACATGGGAGTGCACGTGTGCATCACAACTTCTTGATCCATTTGTCTGCTGATGGTCACCTGGGCTGGCTCTGTATTTTGGCTACTGAAATCTGTGCATCATAAATGTAGGTATGCCGGCGTCCACACACTATGTGGACTCTAATTCCCTCAGGTGTGTATTGAAGAGTGGTGTAGCAGCTTACATGGCACCCCTGGTTTCAGTGTTTGTAAGGACCGCACAGAGCACCGAGTTTGATATGCCTGCACTGATTCATGTTTCCACCAGCAGTGAGGGAGGGTTCCTACCTTCCCCACACCTCACCGGTGCCTTTTGTGTTTCGTTTTCTTGATGACAGCCATTCTGACTGAAGTGGGATGCCATCTCGGTGCAGTTTTGATTCTCACTTCCGTAGTGGCTAAGGAGGTTGAACATCATTTCTTGTATTTATCGTTCTTTTGTACGTCTGTTTGAAAAGTCTCTCTGTAATGTATTTATCCACTTATTGCCTGAACCACTATTTGACCTTGGTGTTAATTTTTTTCAGTTCTTCATATATTTTAGATACTACTCTCCTGCCACCAAGGCACCTCCCACTCTGTAGGCTCTCTTTACTCTGCTGTACAGTTCTTCGCTGTGAGCAACTTTTAAATTTGAGGCTGTGCCATTTGTTGATTCTTGCTATCACTTCTGTAATCTTGGAGTCCTGTTTATGAAGTCTTTGCCTTTGCCTTTCAAGTGTTTCCCCTTCCTCTTAGAGGTTTCAAAGTTTCAGGTCTTAGCCAACTTTCTGAACCATTCTCAACTGATTTTTTGTACAGGGGAAAACACAGGGATCTTGTTTTAATCTTCCACAAGTGAGTTTCCAGTTTTCTAAGCACCATGTGTTAAAGAGGCTGTCTTTTCTCCAGTGTATGTGTTTGACTCTTTTTTCAAGAAACAGGTGTAGGTCTGTTCCTGTGTACTGTATTCAAGTCCTCTGGTCTATGATTTTGGGCCAATACCATGCAGGTTTTGTTACTATAGCTTTGTTGTGTAACTTAAAGTTGCTTTTTTATGATACTTCTAGCTTTTCTCTGTTTACTTACTTAAGATTTCTTTGGTTATTCTGGATCTTTTGTGTGTCCACATAACTTCAGGATTGTTTTTTCTAATTTTGTGCATAATATCACAGAAATTTGGATGAGGACTGCATTGTCTGTACATTGCTTTTGGTAATGTGGCCATCTCAACAATATTGATTATATTGATTAGGTACTTGAGAAGTCTGTCAATCTTTTTCAAGTTTTTCTTCAGGATTCTGTAATTTATATTTGCAGAAGTCTTTACCTCCTTGATTAGACAGATTTCTAGTTTTTTGTTTTGTTTTTGTGAATAAAAGTTTTCCTCATTTCTTTCTCAGTCTGTTCATTATTGGTATATAGAAAATCTTTTGCTTTTTTTAAATGTTGATTTTTGTATCCTGAATTAGATCTTAACAAAAATATGCCATTTGTGCATTTTCTACACCTTTTGGGAATACTGCAATTTTCAAAGTCATTCTCCAATACACTTGTTTTCTTCCTCATGGGCAGAATCAAACTCGACATTTTAAATGACAACACAACCTGGGGGATGAATAACCACATCTGTGACAGAACTTGGTAAGACAATCAGAACGCCACACCCTGGCTGACAGGAGTGCTCTGATGTCATTAGAACCGAAAAAAGGTTTATCTCAGAACAAA